AGCGATTATAGCGATACTGGATACTTTACTGAATTGTGTCGAAGTTAGACGTGTGGTGCGGAAGTTAATATGCAGATGACCATCATTTCAATGTTATATTGTTTGTAGGCAAATTGAGATTAGGCCATTGGAGTATTTGTTTCACGCATACATAAAACACAACGCATTCAAGGGTCACATTTATCATTAAACCAACTCAAACATATAACCTTGTACACCGACCACCTCTTGAAATCAATGCAGGCCGATTTCAACGAATGCAAACGGTGATATATAAAAGAAACATAATCAAGCATGACCACGTCCCAATTTCTTTTGTTTTCTTTACAACTAAGCTATGACTGCAGTCTATTCAGTGTTGCGTATCGAACCTTGTTTATTATAAAAATAGTGCAACAACAAGCAGAATTCACACATTTACCTTATACTTATTCTCAACTGAAGACATTGAATTTATCTCTTAGGTTTTACATTATAAATATCTTAACATGCAGAATACGAAAATAGAGGCTTAGGCCCATCTTTGTATGAATTTTATGAAAATAATCTGATTTTAGAGAAATGAAAAGAAAAATGTCCACACCCTACACAAAAAGATTTATGGTTCCCCGGGAATACGTATGTGTTGCTTGTATATTAGAATCGTATTCCAGTTACAGAAAGAAGTACATATCATCACGGACATCTAATACGTTCTTCGAACTGCCCTGGAACTATATCTATACCAGGACTGGCATCCAGATCCAAGTATTTTTTAAGACCGCCGACTCTCGTTGGGCTATTTATCCCTATTGACTCAGTTGTTCATATAAATTTACGTACCTTAGATGCTTTGTAATCGACGTAGATAGAAAATATTGTTTCCTAAAGTGTTCTGAAAAGCGATAATTATTACTAAATGTACTTTGAACAGGTCGACTGACCAAAAAGTCGGACTTCTGGCACAAGGTCACGTGACCAAATAGAATTTGTATAGATAAAATTGATGACGTCACCGCCATCGGTGTAGGTCAGGTCAAAAGTCATCCATCTTGCCATTTGCCCAGTGTATTCTTACCAGTCGACAAAAAACGATGAAATCACGTTGAAAATAAAATATACACTTTAAAATTGAGACTGATTGAATATGACAAGACTCCATTGAATACATCTGTGCAATTTACAGTCACCAAGATGAGCTAATTTCGGAGAGATTCGGTGAGATTCGGGAATTAAAAAAGGTAAGCCCTTCCGGTTTCCCAACTTCAAGTATTTGAAATCCCAGAATTTCGCCAGAAACATTCTCTCTGACTGTGCATATCATGCTAAACTATATATATATATTTATCGTCTATTATCCTTTGACAAGTAGAGTAGAGAATAAAAATAATTTTTTTTTTAAAATTCAAAAAAGGAAATAAGATTAATTTTTTAGAAAACTACTTGAAGGAATTAAAATCGTATTGAATCGTATCACATGAAAAAATCGTATTGTCCCCGGGAAGAAATCGTATTGGAGCGTATTGACCTATTTTTTTAGTTTCCCGGTTATTTTATTTATTTATTTTATTTTTCAAACAATGTGCATTTATTAATACAACGTTTGCATTATCGAAATGTAACATTCTAGGGGGATGTATAATGGAATAAATAGGTTATTTCTGGTCAGGATTGAATATGGGTTTTATTTCTCGGAAAATATGATATTGACCTTGGGCAATATGATATTGACACTCGGTCGCTGCGCTCTCGGTCAATATTATATTACCCTTCAGTCAATATCATATTGTCCCTCGGAATAAAACCCATATTCAATCCCTCCCAGTAAATAACCTATATGTATTCCATACCTGATGAGGTTTCAGGGGCATATCAACCGGGAATATATTCCATATCCGGGTAATATGTTTCGTATGTCCCGCTCCGACGGAGCTCCTGGACATATAAATCCTATGTCCCGCTCAAATAAATGTTAAAAATAAATTCGGAAAAAAAAATTGTGGAAAAAAATTGAAAAAAAATTGTGGAAAAAAATTATGTAAAAAAATTTGAAAAAAATTTGAAAAAAAAGTTTTGAAAATATTCTGAAAAAAAATTATGCCTAAAAAGGTGAAAAAAAATTGAAAAAAAATGTGGGAAAAAAAATTTGGGAAAAAATGTGAAAAACAATTTGGGAATTTAATTTTTAAAAAAAATCTGAAAATAAAAATTTGAAAAAATTGTGGAAAAAAATTATGTAAAAAAATTTTGAAAAAAAATTGAAAAAAAAGTTTTAAAAATATTCTGAAAAAAAAATTATGCAAAAAAATGTGATAAAAATGTTGAAAAATATTTTTGGACAAAAAATTTGAAAAAAAAATTTGGGAAATTTTCGCATTTTTTTTTGAAAATGATAACATATTTTGCAAGTAACACACCAGAGCATAGGGGATACATACTTATTATTTCAAACCTCATCGACTCTCTCGCTACGCTCGCTCGTGCAGATATCATATTCATTCGTGGATAAAAATCATATCTCTCATAAATCATAGGATATCCTCTATATCCCATGGTTGCAATGATATAGATCGAATATCACATGATGATATATTTGATATGTGGACCAAGATATCATATTTTAGCAAACAATTTACAAATCATCGAATATCACTTTTAAACTATCGAATATCACGTCTTAAAAAGTGATATTCGATGGTTTGAAAAGTGATATTCGATGGTTTCGATTTTTTTCAAAAAATGAATTTTGAATATTTGATGACGTAAATCAAGATAATTTCTACTCGCATCTTGTCTATTCCACAGGTTTGGGAAAAGTGTACAGGAAAATCTCCATGT